GATACCCTCTCATGTTGGAAAGGCAAAGAAAGGGGAAGGAGGTGGCGGCAACGACAGGAACAGCCCCAGTCTAGAGCAATTGAAGAAAGCCTGATCCAAGCAGCCCTGAGTCCCCCATGTCCCTCTCCGGCTCGGCACACCCAGGGCACCCCAGGGCCCGGACCTCCTCATGGAAAGAGAATGTGGGCACAGCACAACCACCCCACCCAGGCTGGCCCCCTCCTCCAAGTCTGGAGCCAGGAGTCCAGCTCTGACCTGGTGAGGCCCCACTCCCGGGAAAGCAAGGGCTTGTCCAGGCCTGAGCCAGAGCCAGGAGGACTTTGTGTGGTGACAGGTCCATGCCAGGACCTGTACACCCAGCCTTCTGGATCTGGCGTTCAGATGAAGCTTCCAGGGTTTGGTAACGGGTGGTCTGGGTAATGACTTAATGACAAGATGGATTTAGTGACTGTTCTGGGCAAGTGCTCAGTTACTTCCACCCACAAGGATAAAGTTGGAGGCTCAGAATGGGAAAGTGGCTTGTCCAAGGCCACACAGCTGAAGAGGAAAATCACTGAGATGTGAACCCAAGTCCCCATCCGGCTTATAAATGGATACAGAGCTGTGGAGTGTTGAGTCCTCTGTGCTTGAGTTTCCTGGATGGCAATCACCACAAGACTGAAGCAGAGCCCACCAAAGTCCCTCAGATCAGCCGTGGCCCCTTCACTGTCACTCTTAACTGAGACAACAGAATATCCCAGCTCTTAAAGGGACAGACCCTCAACACCCACTCCAGAGATGGGATCAGGTGCCTGCAGGATTCAGCCTATGGGCTATGTATGCCTGTACTGCCCAACCTCTCGAGCACTGTGAGCCCAGCCAGGGTTAACAAAGACATAGGTCTGCCTCTGACCTGCCCCAGAGTTTCATCGCCTCAGCACTATTGACTTTGGGCCTGGATAATGCTCTGTTTCTAGGAGCCACCATGTACTTTGTGGGATGCTGCCTGTCCATCTCTCATGGTCTGTAGCAACTAAATACTTCTGAAAAATTGCTAAGTGCACCCCAGGGCAAGACCCCCTAGGAAGAAGCCTCATTTTGCAAACACGGATACTGAGTCAAGGAAAGGGCCAGTACTCAAGGCCAAGGGCAGCAGCGCTGGGCACAGCTGCTCTTGGAGAGTGATGACATATTTATCTTGACTGTTTAATGCATCTGTCACTAGGCAGGCAAAACGGGCAGGTCTGAATGTCACTTTGTAGGATTTTTCACAGGGAGTGTAGGTAACGGGAACACTCACAGCTCGGTGTCAGGCTGAGAGAAACCGGCTTTGTTTGGGAGCCCTGATGTTTTGTGCTGACAGCTGCAGAAAAGCCAAGTCATGGAAAGACTGCGGCCTGTTATTCTGTTATTCAGGTTCGCATGCAGCAAGGGGGCAGGGCGAGCTCCTGCTCCTCACTTGGACAGTGTGTGCTGAGCTTCTGCCAGTCGCATGCACTCAGCTTGTCGCATTTCATGCCACTCCCTGAGCTGGCGCAGGGTACACAGAGAAGGCTAGGGTCCTCCCTCTCCCTGGCACTTACAGATTATGGGCAGCAATGGGCACAACCACACATGTGTGTGTGCACACGTATGCACATACACACATATACACACACATACATACACACATATACACATGCGTACACATACACATATACACCCATGTCCATACATGTACACACACACATACATGCACTCACACACAGCTGGGATGAGATGTCAGTATCCCCAGGGTACAGCAGTACAATGCAGGATCTGAAGACGGCGTGGCCCTCTATCTAGGGAAAGCAGGGATGATGTCAGAGAAGGGAGGGGTCACAACACAGGCCTGATTTCTATTTGCTGTTTTCCTTCAGGAGAGTGAGGGATTGGGTTGATAGGTTGGTTTTATCTTTTTGCATTGATTTGTGTGTGTGTGTGTGTGTGTGTGTGTGTAAGTGAGAGGGGGAGAGAGAGAAAGAGAGAGAGAAAGCAGTGTCTCATATAATTCAGGTTGGCCTAAAATTCACTATATGGCCAAGGATGACTTTAAACTCCTGCCCCTCCTGCCCCTCCTCTCCCAGCCTCCAGGGTGCTGGGATTCCAGGTGTTTATCACCACATCCGGTTCATGCAGTCCTGGGGCTGGAACCCATGGCCTCCCTCATGCAAAGCCAACACTCTGACCTCCTCTCTAATCTTTTACGGCCTCTCCTCTACAACTGTGATGCTTGGAATTGCCATGTGATCGTTTAGTTCTCACCCTCCCACAAGCATTCACTTCCTGGATCCCTGAGCACAGATTCTCCAGGATAAGTCGACTGTACTTGAAATTTCTGTCCACGTCAAATCCAGTCAACAACAGGCAAGGACATAAACCCATGAGCCACCCCAGCTCCAGGAGGAAGGATGGGTGGCTAATGAGAAGATGCAGCCATCATGACAGACAGGCTAAGGGTTTAAGTCTTGCCCTGAGAAGTCTGGGAAATGTGTTAAGCAAAAAATAATGTCTCTGGGGGCTGGAGAGATGGCTCAGAGGTTTAGAGCACTAATTGCTCTTCCGGAGGTCCTGAGTTCAATTCCCAGCAACCACATGGTGGCTCACAACCATCTGTAATGAGATCTGGTGCCCTCTTCTGGCCTGCAGGCATACATTCAGGCCGAACACTGTATACATGATAAATAAATAAATCTAAAAAAATAAAAGAAATTAATGTCTCTGGATTTATATTTTTATGGAAAGACTCCCAAAGCCATTCATTATTATATCTACTCCCAGATGGATTTGCTAATCTCAACAAATATACATCGAGACCCTTCTTTTGATCAGTCCTCTTCAGTGTGTGTGTGTGTGTGTGTGAGAGAGAGAGAGAGAGAGAGAGAGAGAGAGCTCACATGCCAGTGTGTATATAGAGACCAGATGATTTTGTGGAGATTTCTTGTCCCACTAGGTTCCACCGCCCCTTCAGCCCCAAATAAACACACAGACTCTATATTCATTATAAAACTGTTGGCCGATGACTAGGGCTTCTTACTGTCTAGCTCTCTCTTAATTATTAACCCATTTCTATTAATCCATGTATTACCATGTGGTCTTGTCTTGCCAAAGAAGGGTCCGGACCTCTTATTCCTTTGGTGACTACATGTCATCTGTTCTTTGGTGGGCTCTCTCTGCCTACCTTTCCCAGAATTCTCCTCATCCTAGTCCCACCTATCTTCCTGCTTCATTGGCCACAGTGTTTTATTCATCAACCAATAAGAGGAACACTATACAGAAAGCCATCCCATGAAAGGGACAACTTTGTAGAGTCAGTTTTCTCCTTCCACCTTTATTTGGATGCCAGGGGTCAAACTCGGGTCACCACACTTGCGGAACCTTTACCCACTGAGCCCTCTCACCAGCCCTGAAGCTCTCTTCTTGAGCTTGGGGGACTAGATGATAAATCAGAGGCCTTGGGCCCAAAAGTTCATATTCCCCTCCAGTTCTTAAGTCACATCCAGGACATCTGTGCCCATGAAAAATGACCTGCATGATCTTCCACCGGGCTTTCTGATGATCCTCAGCATTTTTAGTTTTGTGTAGATGGGGGTGGGGTATGTGGCTGTGTGGGTATATGTACATGAGGGTGTTGCTATCAGACGTGTATGTGTGTGGCTGTGTGGCTGTGGATATGTGCATGTAAGGGCATTGCTATCAGAGGTGTGTGTGTGTGTGTGTGGCTGTGGATATATGCATGTAAGAGCATTGCTATCAGAGGTCATGGGCATCAGATCTCCTGGAATTTGAGTTACAGATGGTTAGGACTCTGGGATTCGAATGCAGATCCTCTGGAAAAACAGCAAATACATGAATGCCCCCTTCCCTTCCCCCATGACTTTAACACACTTAAGATCTTATGCTGAAAGAACAGAGGAATCTGAGTCCAAATCCTGGCTTTGCCACATACTATTTTTTTATAATTTTATTTATTGTATGTGTTCATGTGTTTTGCCTACATGTATGTCTGCACCGCACGTGTGCAGTACTCACAGAGCCTAGAAAAGGACTCCAGTTCCCCTGAAAAAGGAGTTACAGACAGTTGGGAATCGAACCCAAGTGCTATAGAAGAGCAGCTGGTGCTCTTAATCACTGAGCCATCTCTCCAGCCCTTCATGTGCCGAGTTTCAGTTTTCAGCGAAGCTAATGACAATTCCTTTGGTATATGGGACTGGGAGGTAGTATCTCATAAAGCCTAGAATTCCTGACCCTTCTGCCTCAACCTCACAAGTGCTAGCCTTAAACGACTGTGTCTCCACATCTGGCTTCAGTGGAGAGAATAACACTTAAGATGGTGGACATAACAGTGAGATATGGGCTGTGCTTGTCGGTATCACCCAGTAACCCAGGTAGGAGCAGGAATGTTGGGAGAGGCCTCAGCCTGGGAAACAAAGTCTGCAAAGACAAATGACAATGAGATAAGACATAAAAAGTGCTTGGCTCAGCACTCAGCCCTGGGCACTAGCACTGCGCCTCAGAACTATTCCCACAGTCACACTTGGCCCCCTGGCATTTTTGTAAATAATGCTTTACGGATAGGCAGCCATACCCATTTGGCCCCCTGACAATTTTATGAATAATGCTTTATTGAGGGGTAGCCATACTCACTCATTCTCCTTTTGTCCAGGCTGCATGGCTGCAACACGATGCACCATGCAACACGATTCACCAGCCGACACTTTATTCTCTGGGTTTTTGTAGAGAAAGTTCAATTGCTGACAAGCTTGAAATTGTTTTCATTTTCTAGCCTCAGTTTTCACATCTATGTCATAAATGGGTTTGCAGAAATTATCTTTTTATGCTCAGTCAGCCGTGAAGTAACTAGTGAGATGTGAAAATGTACTTGGGTGCTGCGATGACCATGTGTGAAGGTCATGCTTTGCTGGGTGCTGACTGAGCCCTCTCCTCTCCTCTCCTCACAGGAAGTAGCTGCATGCTGACTGAACCCTCTCTTCTCCCTGCAGATCCTGGCCATCATCTCCATCATGTTCATCGTCCTCTCCACCATCGCCCTGTCACTCAACACGCTGCCTGAGCTGCAGAGCCTGGATGAGTTCGGCCAGAGCACGGATAACCCACAGCTGGCACACGTAGAAGCAGTGTGCATTGCATGGTTCACCATGGAGTACTTGCTGAGGTTCCTGTCCTCACCCAAGAAGTGGAAGTTTTTTAAGGGTCCTCTCAACGCCATTGACTTACTGGCCATCCTGCCCTACTATGTCACCATCTTCCTCACAGAATCCAACAAGAGCGTGCTGCAGTTCCAGAACGTGCGCCGAGTGGTCCAGATCTTTCGCATCATGCGCATCCTGCGCATCCTGAAGCTGGCCCGCCACTCCACCGGCCTGCAGTCCCTGGGTTTCACGCTCCGCAGGAGCTACAACGAGCTGGGCTTGCTCATCCTCTTTCTTGCCATGGGCATCATGATCTTCTCCAGCTTGGTCTTCTTTGCCGAGAAGGATGAGGATGACACCAAGTTCAAAAGCATCCCTGCTTCTTTCTGGTGGGCCACTATCACCATGACAACCGTTGGGTATGGAGACATCTATCCTAAGACCCTCCTAGGGAAAATTGTGGGTGGTCTCTGCTGCATCGCCGGGGTCCTAGTGATCGCTCTTCCCATTCCCATTATTGTCAATAACTTCTCAGAGTTCTATAAGGAGCAGAAGCGGCAGGAGAAAGCCATCAAGCGGAGAGAGGCTCTGGAGAGAGCCAAGAGGAATGGCAGCATCGTGTCCATGAATATGAAGGATGCCTTCGCCCGGAGCATCGAGATGATGGACATTGTGGTTGAGAAAAATGGAGAGAACATGGCTAAGAAGGATAAAGTGCAGGATAACCACCTGTCTCCTAACAAGTGGAAATGGACCAAGAGAGCACTATCTGAGACCAGCTCCAGCAAGTCCTTTGAAACCAAGGAGCAGGGGTCCCCTGAGAAGGCCAGATCATCTTCTAGTCCTCAGCACCTGAACGTCCAGCAGTTGGAAGACATGTACAACAAGATGGCCAAGACACAGTCCCAACCCATCCTCAATACCAAGGAGATGGCACCACAGAGCCAGCCAAAGGAAGAACTGGATATGGGAAGCATGCCCAGCCCTGTGGCCCCTCTGCCCACACGCACAGAAGGCGTCATCGACATGCGAAGCATGTCCAGCATTGACAGCTTTATCAGCTGTGCCACGGACTTCCCTGAAGCCACCAGATTCTCCCACAGCCCTCTGGCATCCCTGTCCAGCAAGGCTGGGGGCAGCACAGCTCCAGAGGTCGGCTGGCGGGGGGCTCTGGGTGCCACTGGTGGGAGACTCATTGAGGCCAATCCCACTCCTGAGGCTGGCCACTCTGGTTTCTTTGTTGAGAGCCCCAGGAGTTCCATGAAGACCAGCAACCCCATGAAGCTCCGGGCACTCAAGGTCAACTTCATGGAGGGCGATCCCAGCCCGCTGCTGCCCTCTCTGGGTATGTACCACGATCCTCTTAGGAACAGAGGAGGCGCGGCAGCTGCCGTCGCAGGACTGGAGTGCGCCTCACTCTTGGACAAGCCTGTGCTGAGCCCAGAGTCCTCCATCTACACCACAGCAAGTGCCAGAACACCCCCTCGCTCCCCTGAGAAACACACAGCAATAGCATTCAACTTTGAGGCGGGCGTCCACCAGTACATAGACACGGACACGGACGATGAGGGTCAGCCACTCTACAGCGTGGACTCCAGTCCTCCCAAGAGTCTCCATGGGAGCACCAGCCCCAAGTTCAGCATTGGAACTAGAACGGAGAAGAACCACTTTGAAAGCTCCCCCCTGCCCACCTCCCCTAAGTTCTTAAGGCCGAACTGTGTCTACTCCTCAGAAGGGTTGACTGGGAAAGGTCCCGGAGCTCAAGAAAAGTGTAAGCTGGAGAACCACACCTCCCCCGACGTGCACATGCTGCCCGGAGGAGGAGCACATGGGAGCACTCGTGATCAGAGCATCTGAGCTGTCCACTGCAGAGGGGAGTTTGCAGGAGAAATCAAGGAGGAGGGAGGACACTTGGCTTGCTGCGGCTGAGTTCTACATGACCTTGGAGACACAAGGCCACCACAGAGCCCCAGCAACAGGAGAGACCCTGAGAGCCATGACAGGTCTATGGATACATAATCAACCAAGCCACAGGGACCATGCCTCCTAACATCACCTTCCTGAAATCACATGAGCAGAGCTCACAGCCATCAAGACCTAGCCTTGGCCACCCACTTCCCAGTCTCTAGAGGCTGTCTTCCAGCCTCTGAGTGCACCATCTCCAACTCTTGTGGCTTCAGCACTGGAGCAAGGAGCTGGTAGTGGAAGTGTGGGTTAACCAAGTAGTACTGGCTGTTGCCTAGCATCTGCCAAGAACACCTGCCCTCCATGGCAGGGTCTTACTGCTAAAGGATGCAGGAGACACTTTGATCCGCTCCATCAGCCATGGTCCCAGGGCATAACCTTTAACCAAGCAAGTGGCTTGGCTGATTCAGTATTCTGTGCTACCCAGGGCTTAATTCTGAAATGCTGTCGGGGTGAGCTGATGATTTGGACTCGATTCTTTCTGCCCACCTGGCAATCACGGAAGGGTTGGCACATAGCCAAGGGGTATAAACCAGACCACTGCTTTTCGGGCTGTCACAGGAGTGAGTTCCAAACAGCACTAGCCTGAACTCAAAAGATACTCGAGCGTCAAATATGCAAACAAGATAGATCATTCAAAGAGACTGTAACTGAGGAACAGCATTAAAAAAATAATAAATTTCATTTTCTACATGAAAAAAGGAAAAAAAAAAGCCCTCACTGAACTGCCCTGTGCAGGCTTCTGACTGCTTTTTGTTGTGGCGGGGAACATGGGAACATACATACATACTATGGGAAATTTTTTCTTTCTTTTTTTTTTTCTTTCTTTTTCTTTTTCTTTTTTGGTTTGTTTGTTTCCTGTGGTATTCAAGCTAAAAAAAAATAATAAGTTAATAAAAAGCACTTTATGTTTTTCTAATCTAGGTTCTACCAGGGACAGTGTCAAGATCTCGCACTTTAAAACAAGCACTATTTCCCGTGGGCCGCATGGTGGCCCTGCACTTGGGGTGTTACTTGTGCCCATTTCTGGCCACAGTGGGTCTCACTGTCACATTAGAGTCTGGGGCTCCTCCATGCCCCATCAGGATCACCCTCATCCCTAATGGGTCAGGAGGGGTCCTCAGCCCTTGGGGAAGGGCTCTCTCAAAGTCCTGTGTGCAAGAGATGCACCTGTCTCTGAAGGGCGCAGCAATTGGGGGTAGGGTATTGTACTGTTCTTTCTTGTCAACCAGCCATTGTGTGTTCTGTGTCACTGTCTGTCCTGAAAGCCCGATGCTCCTTCCTGCGGCCATCTAGGCAGACGGCACAGCCAAAAGCAATAAGTACTCATGTGTATCCCTAGAGGTTCTGATGTACTCCCTGGTGTCAGTCTTCCTGTCCTAGCGTATTGACCTGGCATTGTCCTGCCTGCTTGTAACCCAGTGGCACAGTGTTGTTGGCCCTTCCCCAGTGACACCAGTCTGCACGATGCTATAGTGATGGCTTGTCTATCAGTAAAGATGGTGGTATTGGTCAGCCCGTCTGCAGTACAATGGGGAAATGTGGTTTTCTTACTATAGTGTTAGTGGATAACATTAGTGGATAGTGTCCTCCTCCCTGTCCTCAGAACAGTGACAGGCATGTGTCTTCCTGATGGAGCAATGACATGATATTGATCACCTGTCCTCAGTATAGTTTATGGCTGGTCTGCCCAATAGTTCAATGGCATGGCCCACCCATCAGCACACATCAGTGTTCTGCCTCCTGTTTCCATGGCTGAGATCAGGCCACCTGTCACAGGTGGAATGCTAAAGGGTTATCACACCAACCTTAAACAAAAGTATTTTCTACAGTTCATGACACTTCTCAGCATCTCCAGGGACCAGGGTCCCCTCCCTCCAGAGGTGCACCTTGGTATTTGCTGTGAATGAGGAAAACTGAGATGTTCACTGTCTCAGGGCCTCAGAACTTTCTCAGAACAGATGCAAAGGGGCTGAGGCAGTGGAGGTCACCCTGCACTACAGGGCCCTGGAGGCAGGAAGCAGGGGGACTCCAGAGCCCCCTGCTGAGCTCAGCCTGGTGCTGGGGGCCTGTGGATGTGACCATGGGACCGCTCTGTTGACCATCGTTCATGTTTCTTCTTTCTTTGTTTTTTCTTCACCATAGACGTCACCCAGCAGCACAAATGTGAAAATTCAGGGAAAACAAACAAATGCTTTTTGATAAAAAGAAAATAGTTGTGATTTCCGATTCAGATATTTTTAGAGCTATCTGTAAAACCTCCTACTGATGATATAGTCTATTTTACATATCAGGAAGTAAACATGTCTTAACATAGCCATATATAGCCAGAAGGAATTTACCGCCCCCTTCTTCAAATCAAGGCATTTCATTTGTTGGTTAAGCTGATGGCCGGTGTACAAAGTAGAAATGGCTTCTTTCTTTTCTAAGAACTTGGTGCGACTCTCCTTTGTAACCAAAGGCCCCTCTGCCTTGTTTTATGTAGGACCTGGCTGTCCCTTCCTCCTGTATTTTGTCTGACCTTAAAGTAGCATTTTTCCAGAGTAAATGAAGGATAAATGCAGAATACTCCTTCCTAGCTGAATAAACAGTCCAATAGGATCCCTATAGAAACAACCATCAAAACTCAGTATAAACTATGCGTAAAAGTTTTCCGTTCTGTTTTGGGTTTTGCTGGTCTGTTATTTTGCTGTTGTTTTACTCATTTATATGTGTATGTACTGTGGGACTATAGCTTTTCCTCGATGTGTGACTCAAGTTAGAGTACTGTAAATTTTCCTACCAGGCCTCCACCTGCTAAAAAGGAACGCTGAGTTTCATTCCACACATACCCAACCTGGGTACCTGCGTTTACATGCACTGGGAAAGCTGCAGAAGGGTTGCCAAGATGAAGCTGACTCTGACAAATGGGCCTCAGGAGTGAAGAGGGAAGTCAGGGAATAGAGGCAGAGGCTACTGGAACTTGGTGGTTCATTTCCGTCTGTCTTGAACCGACCAGAGCAAAAGGAAGCGAGGTACCCAAAGTGACGCCGAGGGCTGGAGGTGACATCCAGTTGTGGTCCAGTTATGAAATCAACGGGGCTGTCAAGAACCCAGGGGAACTTGAGTTTCAGCATATCCATACCATTATCAGAAGAACCAGGCATCAAGCAGCTGTGTGTGCACATCACACGGGAAAGGCTGCCCCGTGGGAGAGTGGGGACCGTCAGTGCTTTCATGTGTTGTCACTGGATGCCCCAAACAGCAGGTCTGAGACTGTGCTTTTCTCTCTGGGATTCCGTCTTAAGCACATTAAGAGTAGAAAGAGAAGAAGAGAGATCATTGGCCATCAAGGAAAGAGAAAATACCCAAATCACAAGGAAGCCACCCTTCACCCACTCTGCTCATCCCCAACAGTTGCTAGGAACACGAGCATTTTCCAACTGAGTCTCTCCTTCCTGTCCACCTCCTCTGTGTTCCTGAGCTGCAGCCTCATCTCGGCCCCTTCTCCTGAGGAGATCCGAGGTAAAAAAAAAAAACAAAAAACAAAAAACAAAAACAGGACTCAATGGCACCCTCTTCTATATAACTGTAATGTATTGTCAATATTTGTAATGATTATGTATTTGTTTGACTCTGATCATGGCTGGAATGTCTAGTCCATGAACAAGGGAATATTTAAAATTCATCACAAACAAGGGTCCCTAAAGCCAGGTCTCTTTAGGTAGATAGATAGATAGATAGATAGATAGATAGATAGATAGATAGATGATAGATAGATACAGATATATTAATATCTCTCCTTCCCTTATTTCTCTGCCAACTTGTCTCAAGTAAAATAACCACAGGCTACATTGAATCAAAGGAGGATGCACAGAAAATCTTCTAGAATGCGCTCCGCTCCTTCGGGGATATACTTTGTATGTGTGCGTAGCTGAGAAGTGGCAGAAGGAACAAGGGGCCTCCCGGTGCCCAGCAGGACAATAGAACACTCCAGCCCCAGGCATTTCCTAACCTGTTCTTGTTTATATGACAACACTCAATTGCTTTCATGTCACCAGGCCAGGGCCACCCAAACCAGCCCTAGCCACACCTGGAAATAAGAGTTACCTCTGCATTTTCTGTTGCCATTTTTTCTGGCTCTAGAAGCATCTATATCCTAGAATGTCCACACATCTCAGAGTAGTCTATTTTTTTGTTCAGATAAATATATAAATATATATATATATGTATTTTAGTATATTTATAATAGGACAATTTATTCTAATTTCTTTTGTAACAGTAATATCTTGGGGGCTTTATCATTGCTCACTCACATAGATGGTTTTTCTTCTGTTGGATTCTGGTTGTCTGGAGGTGAGGAAAGACTGGAGTTTTGTCATCCTGGAAGACTGAGTTCCTGGTTCTGGGGGTGTGATGGTTCTGTGTCTTTCCTCTGGCTGCCACTCTTAGGAGTTCAGGTGTTCAGGAGCAAGTCAGGTGAAGTAGAGGTGTAGTTGGGATCTGGGTTGCCAGGAGCTTGGCCCTACCCTCCTGGGATCTTAAGGGGCCAAGCTTTCTGGTTCCCAAAAATACTGGAACCAAGACCCTCCTGAAAGCAAACTTGTCTCCGAGAAATTGCTGAGCTCAGGAACACTCCTGAGTTCCTCTGGGCCAGACTGTCCCCATGTCCAGCATCCTGCTTTCCAGGGCCATCAACAGGATCCGGGGACCAGAGCATGTGCAGGCTGTGGCAAACCTCAGAGGAATGTGCTGCGTCTCCCATCCATTTCTCACAGTCTCACCAAAAACCAGTGGTCAGACAACCTTTTAGCCAAAGTCTGAGGAACGACAGCCCAAAGCTGCGATTTTCCTGCCCAGTCCTTCTCAGCAGCGCCAAGTGTGAAATTTGAGGAAAGGGTATCAGTATTTTTCCAACCTCCACTTTTCCAAATGCTAGTCCTTGGTCAGTCCTGAGC